AAATTGTCACTCTATCACTTGTTCATTTTATAAACTAAATATTGCTGCAAACTGTAAACTTGTCAAAATATCAATGATGTTTCGCGATAGTGTTGCAGAACTTTCTGCTTAACATTATCTCGATAAAGTGTTGAAACACTTCTTGTAAATTCCAAAGCATGATTTCGACGTATATACGCTACGCTATGTTAAGGTCTCAACAAGTTTACTCGACATTACTTACATTTTTATTTTGTCGACTTATCGTTATTGCAAACAACTGATCTTTCATATCCCCTTACTGAAATTACACAATTTGAATTAATTTTATATCAGCCTTGACACCTTTAAATTTTTTACTATAGGTAAGATTCACTTACTTTTGCCTGAAGGTGTCAGATGTTAACATATGCTGTACATGTTTCGAGCTACTTACAGCTCATCTTCAGCAGCATTCTTGAATTTAAAAAAAAATTAAAAAAACTGTGTATATACAAACTGTAAATAGTCGACAAACATCGTTTGATGTGATTTTTTTTAATTCAAGAATGCTGCTGAAGATGAGCTGTAAGTAGCTCGAAACATGTACAGCATATGTTAACATCTGACACCTTCAGGCAAAAGTAAGTGAATCTTACCTATAGTAAAAAACACTTTTAATCCTAAATACCACCATGCCTAAATTATTATTTTTTATTATTGCAGAATAAAGTTTTAGAAACCACACATCATTGAACAATATCAAGGTTTTAATTAAAGGAACGGGTTATTGCTCTCCTTCAACAAAGCAATCGCCAGCCCTTCATTTTCGCTATAATAAGTGCTTCTTCAACGGTAATAAACCTAGAGCAATAACCTTCATGTAATAAACCAATCAAGGCACTCTTAACTATTACTTTGAGAGATTAGATATAATTAAAGTATGCCTATGAGATCTCAAACACTAATAAGACAACATGTTTGTATTGAATAATATTTTACCTATTCTGAGGAGATCTTTTCGGGGGAGCGAGCTGGTGTAGTGGTTAGAGCGTGGGACTTTGGTCTCTGAGGTCCCGGGTTCAAATTCTGCCAAATCTTCAATGGATTGTATCTATGTGATAATGGCGCAACCCTTGAGTCTAGCCCAACTTAATGTAAAAAACAATCCCAGGCTCGATGATGTCTCCACGACCAGTGATGATCACGTTATTACAGTACCTCTAGTTTGGCTTGACTGAAAATATCAGGAAAGCGTACCTCTAGTTATAATAAATAGTTAAGTATGCCATGTTATAATAGTTAATGATTTAAATGTATTTTTAGTAAATACCTAAAAAAAATAAAAGCTAAAAGTTACACTTTATTACTTTATTAGAAACCCTGATTACACATTTTTACTTTCTCCCCCTATACCATAGTATATGGAGAAAGTATTGTTTTCGTCAAAATTTTCGAGTTTGAGTTTTGAGTGGATATATTCGTTTTGGGTCCCCCTGGACCCAAAAAAGTGGTTTTTGAAGTGATGTCTGTGTGTGTGTGTGTGTGTGTGTGTGTGTGTGTGTGTCTGTATTCACCGAATAGTGGCATCCTTCACAAGCACACGGCCGTACTGTGGCACCTTCAAAAATTGTGGCACCTTTTTCAGGGTGCCACAGCTAATTCGATCATTTTTGAGATTTTCCAGCATTATTACGTCGTTTAAACATCACATGCCACAATTGAGTATTTTTGAACTCGTTGATGGGAGTTTAAGTAGCGCAGGTACACGCCGAATTGTGGAACACGAAACCATACAGGTAGCTAGCGCGCCTCGCGCCGTCCGCCGGAACTATAACTTTCCTAATGCTACGTTGCCAATTCTCGCGCCAGCTTACACTCTAAATAGTGGCACCATGCCACAATTCAGTATATATCAACAGTGTGTGTACAGGATGCCACTTAATGAGTTGTAGCGCTTGATCAGTGTGTAGAACAGTGCAACAAGCAACTAATAAACTAATAATACTGTACTGCCACGTACTATAAAACAATTTAAGTACCATAAATAATATACTTTTGCTCCGAGTGGTGAACAATGTTTTACATTAAAAATAATTTGTGTTGTAAATAATTATTTAAATTGTTTTTATGCCACCATTAAAAAATGTATTTTTGTTTACAAACATAAATTGGTAACGTAGTTACTTTGTATCAATTGAATTTTTACATTGAAACAATAACAATGTTTTAGGTTAGAACACTATATAAGTTGTCCTATGCTGCAATTTTTTATCTTACAAACTATTTCGTGCTGACATCTGTTTTATTAACATTCTAGTCATGTTGAGAAAAATTTTACAATTACATTTCTGAATCACTCAGTAGAGGTAATTATTATTATTTTTTTTTATTATTATTTTTTTATCATTTTATTTAATTTACAATCTCTTCAAAAAAAGTAGAACAATAAGCAAATGTGATAAAATTTAAACACAGTAGTTAGTCCTTATCCAACAATAAAGCTAACAAACAATCTTTGCATATTGGCACAAAGTTTAAAGTCCATAAATCTCTAAAAACGACTACTTAGGTCAAAACAAGGCATCTTTTCAATCTATATAATATACAGTTGCTGTTGTTCAACAAATTCAAAGCGAGGTAGTTGGTATGGTACTCTAATTTCTTTGTATTTGGCACTTAACCTTGAAATTTCTTCTTTGATCGTTGGGGTTCGACTGTCTCTATGGAGCACTTCGTTGTTAACGAACCATGGTGCCTGAAGAATGTGTCTAAGAACAAGAACTTTAGATTGGAATCTTTGGATGATGTTCAAATTGGATTCACTGGATGTCCCCCACAGTTGGATACCGTACGTCCACACTGGTTTTAGAATGGTTTTATATAAAAGCAATTTATTTTCTGTTGTTAATTTAGAATTTTGATTTAATAGGCAAGAAAGAGGTAAATTTCGATGCAACATTGCTGAAAGTTATGTTTTGCTTCTCACTCTCAGAGTATTCCAAAGACATCTAATGTTTCAATCCATGTTCAAATGTTATATGAGGTAAACATATAACCGAATCAATTAAAGTACGGTACTTAAATTAAAATACATATTATTACTAAGAGGTGAAAGCCAGTTGAGCGGAAAAAACGTGATTTGATATTTGTATAAGTAACTAAATGTAAAAACTCAATAGATGTACTAATGCTGGTTTTATTGGTTAAAATTATAATAATTCAAATTTGTTTTACTACATCTTGTTATTCAGATACCTCTTCCAGAAGTGCATTATGGTAGTTTTGACCAGGAAAATATTACAGTAGTTGGAATCTGATATTAACATCCAAAAAGGGCATTAAAGTATAAAAAAGAGAACGGAAATTTAACATCCAAATTTAACTGTAGCCCACTGTTGGGGGTGGAATTAAAACTTATTTAGTAAAATAGGTGTGGTGTGGTGCTACCTTCTACAGATGTCTTCAAGACGAGCGGGGTTCCTTGGTAGCAGCGTGGAGCGTGGATCTGGCGTCTCGTTCTGGGTCAGCGTGAGGGCGAAGATGCCGAGGAAATAAAATACTGGCTAGACTGTTACGTAAACTTGTATATTAAAACATATATTTAGTACATAGGTAATGACAAATAAATCATAGCGCCGGAAGGCACTAGCGTGTTGGCGGGGGTGGCCAGTCACTGCAGGAGTCAGGAGTGCAAGTGGCGTCGTCCTGTCCTTGAGGGAGGGGGTAGCGTCGAGTATCAGCTGTTTCTTGGCGGCAAATTCAAGTTAGTAGCACCACATTTTTGGGACGGATGAAAAGGTAATTTAATGGCTGAATTAATATATTTTTAGGTTTAGGCCCTAACATTCCCCTCACCCAAAACAATGGTTTTGAAACGAGAAAAAAAAGATAAAATATTTAGCTTTAACACACAAACACGAAACAATTTTAATTTAACACACGCAAAACGAAATACACCGTTGTTTTATCAATTTAAAGGTTATGGTCAGGAGGCGGGAGGGATATCAGCTTGTGTACTGGCCTTGTGAATGTGCCTTGAGTAGTTTTTATTTTAGCTGCTCTCACTACTCCATCTTTTCCTGGGTAAGTAACTTCAACTCTACCGATGGGCCATTCTAATGGACTAGTGTTCTTCAACTGAAGATAAACTATATCGCCAATGTTGATATTGGGTTGAGTGGTTGTCCATTTGTTCAGCTGGATCAGGGTATGGAGGTAATCTCTGGACCAGGCCTTCCAGAAAGCTTGTGTGGCCTGTTGAAGAAGCTCATATCGTGTAAGTCTATTCATTGGCGTATCGGTGTAGTCATGTTCTGGAGGTGAGATGAGTGGGGCACCTACTAAGAAGTGTCCTGGGCTGAGGTAATCTCCATCGTTGGGGTCGGTCGTCATTGATCCAAGAGGACGGCTGTTGAGAACGGCTTCGATACGGTAGAGAAGTGTAGACATTTCTTCGTACGTTAGACTCAGATTTACTAAGATTCTAGAGAGATGACGTTTGGTTGACTTAACTGCAGCCTCCCAAATTCCTCCAAAGAGGGGTGCAGCAGGGGGAATGAAAATCCACTTAATTTCCTTTTTGCTGAGCTGATGAGTGAAATGTTCATTATTTTCTTTGAGGAATTGTTGAACACGTAAGTAGTGGTTTGAAGCACCTTGGAAGCTGGTTCCACAGTCACTGTATATTGTTTTGCACAGTCCTCTGCGCGCTACAAATCGGTCAAATGCAGCAAGGAATGAGGCAGTTGATAGGCTAGTAGCGAACTCTAAATGAACTGCTTTTGTGGCTAAGCAAACGATTATGACAATGTATCCTTTTGATATGGGAGCCTTTCTTCTTGAACCTTCTTTAAAATCAAAGGGTCCGGCATAATCAACACCAACATTCAAGAATGCACGCACATTTTCGAACCTTATTGGAGGAAGGTTTGCCATTTTTGGAGTGAGTGGTTTCGCCTGAAATAAGTAGCACTTGTTGCATCTAAATATTCTCTCTCTCAGGAGTTGACGAATACCTATTATCCAAAATTGCCTTTGAATCAAAGACTGAGTGAGCCGTGGACCTCCATGTAAAGAGAGGATGTGATAGTGATCACATATAAGTGTTGCGAGACGTGAAGACTGGGGAATAAGAACTGGGTGTTTTGCAGGATAAGGGAGAAGCGAATCTTTCAAGCGTCCCCCCACCCTAACAATCCCATCATCGTCTAGAAACAAGGCTAGAGGTCGATACTTGAGAGACACGTGTTTTCCAGTTTGGAGATTTATTATTTCCTTTGACAAGTGACATTCTTGGGTAGATCTTACAAATCGTGTGAGAGCATTATTTTGTTCTTCTGGGGTTATAGGACCTTTTAGTGGTGGTTGCTGTGCTATCCTGTTCTTCAAGTTTTTAATGAAGCGGAGTAAAATACTTAAAACCAATTTAGCTTTAGACAAACTAGACGATTTCTCTAATATGTCCAATACTATGTTAGGAGATTGTTGAGTTATCATAAGGCTCTCGAGTTTTATTTCGGGCAAATCATTGCTGATTTCTGGATTAGTATGTGCTTTGAGATTGGATATAGGTCCATATAGAAACTGAGGGCCTTTCCACCATAGATCGGAGTTTACTAAATCTTTAGGAAGAGAGCCTCTGCTTGCAATGTCACAGGGGTTTTCTTTGGAGATAACATGATACCATTGACTTGGTTTCGTTTCGTCAAGTATTTCTACTACTCTGTTTGCAACAAAGGTTTTGAGCTTATAAGGTGGTATTTTTAACCAAGAAAGTACTACAGAGGAGTCGGTAAACAACAGCGTATCTTGAGGATGAATGGTTTCCACCAACGACTTGACTGATATTAACAAGTGAGCGAGAAGTTGTGCTGCACAGAGTTCGAGGCGTGGAATGCTAATGATCTTTAAAGGGGCGACTTTGCTCTTTGCTTTTAGGAGATGTATATTAACTCCATCTGTATGTTCTGTACGTAAATACAAATTGGCGGCATATCCCTTCGCTGATGCATCGCAGAATCCTATGATCTGAATGTTAGTGGCATTAACAATGGGTATGTGTCTCGGAATCTTTAGGTGAGCCAGTTCTGGAAGAGTAGAGATGAATGTTTCCCATTTATTACAGATCTCAGTAGGAAGTTCGTCATCCCATCCTAATCCTAGCAACCAAATGCTTTGCATAAGAATTTTCACATAGAATGTGCACGGAGTAATCCAACCTAAAATGTCGTAGATTTTGGACATCTCACTTAACATTGAGCGTTTTGTGTACACTAGGGGATTGAGATGAATTATGTACGAGAATGTATCGTCATCTGGGTTATACTGCAAACCTAAAACTTTCATATAATTTTCATTTTCTGAACTGATGCTTAGAGGCTTTTCTCGATGATCTAAAGGTACGGTGGCTAGTACGTCCTTACAGTTGCTAGCCCATTTGCGCAACGAAAATCCTCCTAGGTTCAGTAGGTCTATAAGTTCTTGTTGCAATGTTAGAGCTTCGTCAATAGTGTCAACACTGACGCAGATGTCATCTACAAAAGTTTGGTTTGTAATGGCTTTAGATGCTAGGGGATACTTCTGACCTTCGTCTTGTACTAGCTGTAGCAAAACTCTTTGAGCTAAAAATGCACTTGATGTTACGCCATATGTTAAGACGTTGAGTTCGTATTCTTCTATGGGACCATCTCGATGAGTTCGATAGTATATGTGCTGTAGTTTGCGATGTTCTTCTGTTACTAGCACGTTTCTGTACATTTGTTTGATATCTGCACAAACGACGATAGAATGCAATCGGAAATTGGTTATTATCTCTGCGATATCCTTCTGTAGTTTTGGACCACTGTACAATATATCGTTTAGGGACGAACTAGATCCACTAGGTTTGAATGAAGCGTTGAATACTGTCCTTAGTTTAGTTGTAGAACTGTCCTCTTTGCGAACACAATGATGAGGAATTATGTAGTTGGATGGTTCTAAACAAAGACTCATATGTCCCTGAGATATATAGTCGTCCATGAAGCTTCTATATTCTTCATACGTCTCTTGATTGCGTTTTAGTCTTTGCTCTAGAGTCACCAGCTGTCTTTGAGCGCTATCCCTAGTATCAGGGAGTGATGGAGCTTCAGGCTTAGTTGGGAGGGACACAATGTATCTTCCATTAGTGTCTCTTCTGTGAGTTTTTATAAAGCTTTCTTCTGTGGCTTCATCTTCAGGATTGGGTCTTACTACATTGTTGACAGATTCTATCTCCCAGAATTTGGTTAGATGAGCATCAAGAGTGTTGTTACAAATCAACATTGAGGACCGGTCATTCAATGGAATTTCGTTGATAACTTTGCCTCCTATTACCCAACCAAATATAGTAGCTATCGCAGACGGTTCTCCTTTAATTAGGTTGCTTGACTCCTGAAGGATGTCAAAATACAAGTCCGCTCCTATAAGGAATTCAATAGGGGATGATACGTCAAATGATGGGTCTGCGAGTTTTAAATGATGAAACTTTGAGCGTATTGATGAGTCAATGGGGATGTTTGGTTGGTCTGACGATATTTTAGGGACAACAATTGCGTCTGTTGTTAGAACAATGCTGGCATTTTCGAGTGGACTGATAACGCAATGAACTAATCCTTTATTGAGGGGAACGGATGTTTCAGCTACTCCAATGAGGTTTACATTGTTAGAATATCTTTTTAGATTTAGTTTGGAGGCGCATTCCTCGGTGATCAAGCTAGTTTGAGATCCTCCATCTATAAGAGCCTTTGTTGGTAACAGTTTACCATGATGATCTTTAACTCCAATGACTGCTGTACTCAGTAGCATATTAGATGAGGTTTTCGAGTTAGCAAAGCTGCAAGTCTTCTCTACAGTGTCGGTAGACGGCAATGTAACATTATCGGATGGCTTAGGACTACGGGTGACGTTGTTATAAGTTGAATCTCTTTGGCGATGAAGGAGAGAATGGTGTTTACCAGAACACTTGAAACATCTCGATTTGGACTTACAGTCGGAAATTCTGTGAAAACCCAAACAACAATAGCACAGAGAGTTTGCTTTAGCAAAGTCATTACGACTGGACACATTTTGTTCCTTAAACTTTGTGCAACCAAAGATTTTATGTGATGTATCTTGACAAAAGGCACATTTTAGTGCTGAAGGCCATTTATGATTGCTGTTATCATTGACGGTAGTAGATAGCATCGTATTTTTGTTACTATACGGTTTGCTTGGAGTCCTAGTCTGCTTGGGCTTAGTTTTAGTACTCGTTATTTCAAGGATTTTAAGCTGTTGTTCTATGAAGCTAATTAGGTTTTCAAACTTAGGGATTTCTTTGTCTGTCTGTTCGCTTTCGAAGTCTTTACGGGTACCTGGAGTTAGAGTACGCAATGCGACATGAAGCATAGTAAAATCGAACAAATCATCTATGCCAAGGGCCTTGAGAGCGGAGAGATTGGTATTAAATACTTCTAGAAAACTAGTTAATGAACTGGCAGTATCTTCTGTGAGAGCTCGGAACGAGAACACTTTATCTAGATAATTAGATGCGAGTAGACGCTTGTTTTGATACCGCTGAATGAGCTGATGTAGAGCAATATCGTAGTTTTCTTCAGAAATAACTAAATTTTCTATTAGAGAGAGAGCGTGAGACTTGAGTAGACTACGTAGATAAGTTAGTTTTTCTGATTTTGAGAGAGAGCGATTCTTGTGTATCAGAGAGTTAAACAAAGCGTAAAAGTTCGGCCAATCAGCTATCGAACCATCAAACGGCTCAATTTCAATTTTTGGTAACTTAGCTACCTGAGGGGCAGATTGCGGGGGTTGCGTAGGTGTGGCTTCAGATTTGCCGGAGGTTTGCGTTTTGGGTTGCTCAATCTGCATTTTGCGAGCAAGAGATTTTACGTTAAAATACATTTCATCGTAACTCATTGAGACTTTGTGTACCTCGATCTTATCGCTATCATCTAGATCAGAGTTAATAATGGTAATGTCATCACTAATATCTTCAAAAACAGAGTAATCATCTTCTATTCTATTATAGCGAGAAACAAAGTGATCAAGTTCAGCTTGATAAGGTTGCTTCTTTTGAGCCAATTCTAAACATTTTTTACCCACGTCATAAAGCGCTTGAAGTCTAGCAAAGTACTTTTCTCGCTTCTTTATCAATGAATCCATTTTTGCTTTATTCTCTTTAGTGGCCATTGTTGAGCTGACAATGTACAGGAATCAATAGGATAAAAGGGGATAAAAGGTAGATTAAAAGAATATTTACCGATTAAAAATTACGTTTAGACCGTTGCTGTAAATAAACAAAACAATACACGTGTACGAGAATGAATAATTGACAGTTGTAATATTAGATTAAAAACACACTACTATAATCTACAAATGGGGAAATATGAATGAAATAATAACAGTCAAATTGTTGAAAGAGATAAGCAACTAGCGGACGCGTAGCGATAAGCAAACAATAGGCGGCGGCGTTCCGAAACGGGACCTGAACTAACCTGTCTCAACAATAATCAAGCAAAACCTCTTTAACTTAAAACTTTATGTCAAAGCTAAACTAATTAAATGCTGATTAGTACTTTTAGTAAAACAGTTTTATGAGTTTACTGCCTTCTTTTTACACAAATTAAGCAATAATATAATTCTTTACTTTTATGATTTGAAATGGACTGTAATATTTAAAACAAAGCGTTTAGTTCAAACTTTTAATTTTATCCGGCTCGTAAAGGACCAATGTTGGGGGTGGAATTAAAACTTATTTAGTAAAATAGGTGTGGTGTGGTGCTACCTTCTACAGATGTCTTCAAGACGAGCGGGGTTCCTTGGTAGCAGCGTGGAGCGTGGATCTGGCGTCTCGTTCTGGGTCAGCGTGAGGGCGAAGATGCCGAGGAAATAAAATACTGGCTAGACTGTTACGTAAACTTGTATATTAAAACATATATTTAGTACATAGGTAATGACAAATAAATCATAGCGCCGGAAGGCACTAGCGTGTTGGCGGGGGTGGCCAGTCACTGCAGGAGTCAGGAGTGCAAGTGGCGTCGTCCTGTCCTTGAGGGAGGGGGTAGCGTCGAGTATCAGCTGTTTCTTGGCGGCAAATTCAAGTTAGTATAGCACCACATTTTTGGGACGGATGAAAAGGTAATTTAATGGCTGAATTAATATATTTTTAGGTTTAGGCCCTAACACCCACAACAAAAACATTGAGCTTCATTTTTCACCCTTACAATCGGTTAAAAGTATTGAAGTATAAAAAAACGTAATTATTAAAAAAAACTAGTATTAAAGTATAACAACAGGAGGGGAAATTTGACATTTAAATTCAACTGTGCAACATAAACATTGGTCTTCATTTCAACCCTTGCAATCGGTTAAGCTCAGCTTTCTTTGCTGGAAATAATTTTTGATTGTTAATACCAAGTATTCTTGATATGATGGAGGATATTATTGTAATGTAACTAGATTGTACATCTTCTACCATTATTAGGACGATTTAGAGACAGCATTTTAATATTGTTCTTAATAATGGCCATTGGATACAGAAGATTTTGATGAAAAAGGCTTGCTACAAATTTAACATGGGGATGGAATGTCTGTAAGTTGTATTGATAGTCAAAGATAAAACAGGCCTACGAAAAGCTTAGGGCTATTTTAATGTGAGACTCAAAAAACACCTTTAAAAGACTAAAATGAACTGAATTATCAATTATATATTTCAATGTGTAAAAATGTAAAAAATTCAAAAAGACTTACTTATTGAACAACAAAATAAGATGGCTGAAATGTAGGCCTAAACATAAGTAATAAGTAAACATCGCATTCAGCTGATTTAAGTGAAAACAGAATAACAATAAGAAGGGAAGACATGTCTTAAATATACAATGTAGATAATATGATTAGAAATTCGTAGCCTACTTCTGGACAGGCCTAGTCAATTATCCATACCGTGGATAAAAGTGTACTTCTATTAGCCCAGGTAATTATTTATTTACTTATTACGGTTGTAACTGGACGTATGTATAGTCCGTGGCTTGGCAATCAAATAACAGTATTTAAATAGGATAGGCTACTGTTATCAACTTTTGAAATTACTGGATTGTTACCAAATTACTGTTTCACAAAATACAGAATCCATTTTCAACCGAGCCATTAAAATGAGGATTTGCCGAACAATTATTAATATTACAGAATAGTATTTAATGCTATACAACTTTTCACATTTCATAAATTATATGTTAGTTTTGCTATGGTCAAAGGTCCAAATCCAAAAATGTTCTTTTCATTTGGTTTTTATGTAGTAATTTGCTAGAATCATTGACTTTATATCAAGTCAATGCTAGAATACTGTAGATGGCTTGTTAAGACCATAACACAAGCATTTTTCAAATCGTTTACCCGTTTAACCAAATATTCCAAAAGATAAAAATTATATGGTGCAACACAAATAAACAACCCGATCACCTATCTATAACCTACACTTTACCTCCATAATCCAACCTTACTTTAAAACACTTAATGTAGTCACGAATACTCATAAACCCCGACCTACCTTCACCTACCACCTACCACATGCCTAAATTAGATCAGTGTTCAATCTGCGTTTTAAGTGTAATAAGTTACTGCACCGTCGATGTAATTCAACATAATATAACCTGTGAGGTATTATCGGATTAAATATCGATTTCGATGCGGTTAGATATATCGCTTATTTTTTATCAGAATTTATTTTACAATCGGTTCAAATATGAGGACAATAAGTAAAACATATATCAAAACAATGTCAGGAAACATTAAACAAGCACCTGTTCATCAACAAGCCTTGCCAAAAATTGGAACAATCATTTAAATATTTACAGAAATCTGTAGCTTAGGTCCAGCACATGCACAACACTTTATAATCTGGTAATGCACTGACTATTGTCACAGAAAACATACTGTAGTATGTTTTCTGTGCTATTGTCCAGCAGATTAACAGCAAGACTGTTCGAAATCCTGATTTCTAACATTGGCTGTTCTAATCAGCCGGCAACACAAATAGGTTCCGAGGAAAGTAGTCACAGGTCCGTATCCCTCCGCTCCTTGTTAAATATTGGAAATTTTAAGTTCGATTTAAATTGCATTAGCATTATCTAATTGAAATTTGTTTGTTTAAAAACCATCTCACTATTAGTCTAAGTAATTTTGTTAAGTTTGGCTGGAATGCGTTCAGCCGTTATTGAGTGATGTTTCTCTATTTGTTGCATTGAAGTTGATCCCAAAGAGCTTCGCTCGCTCCGCATTGACAGTAGCTGCTTAAATAGTATTTTCTCTTTGTACCATTTTTTACAGCCAAAATGTCGTGTTATTTTCAATAATGTTACCAAACCAGTGCGCTAAATTCCGTAATATAGGCAGGTGCAAATAATTTGTCAAGGTGGGTACCATTTTAGACAAAGTTTCTATGTTTGGATTTTATTAGACACGATAAGAGCAGATATTTCTACATAAATATTTGATATGTGTAGTATAATATGATAAAATATAGGCAAAAGTGGTGAAAAAGGCAGACACCAACCCGTGCAAGTGATATAAGATAGTTCAATAAGAAATAATTGAAGAATTGCTGTGATAAAAGGACTTTCCACTGATTTCGTAATGGGACGTTATATTGCAAAACATGACATGATAAAGAAGGAAATCAATTTTAAAATCTGAAAATAACATTGCAAATACTTATTTGGTAGAATTCAGTAACTCCCAATAAATGTGTGTTGTTTGAAATACAATTTAAAAATGAACAGCTGTTTCATTAAAAAGTATTATTCACATGGCCAAAATGTAAACAGCTCTGTGGAGGGATCTTTAAAGGCTTCTGGGGCAGAGTCCTAAGGGATTTTGATTAGTCTTTCTTTTGATACCTAACTCATCTACAGACCAAGACGTTTCTTTGGACACCCCTACCAAGTTTGGGTCTCTAAATCAAACGTACAAAAATTGTATATTTCGTATCTAGGGCCGAAAGTGAGGTTTTGCCGACTCGAGATCGGGTTTTTAGTTCGAGACGAATTCGAGAACGTGAAAAGATCGAGAGCTGCAAACACATTTTGGCTCGTGGTACGAACGCTATTTTTCACCCAAGTATGTTTTGCAATATAACGTCCCTCTTATTTATGTGAAATATTTTGAGGAATCAGCAAAATCAAAAATAACAATAAATAGTTGTCTAGGCAGCTGTGACAAAAAACAAGTCTATTGCAATGCCATGGATACAGCTTGTGCATTTAATATACATTAATGTTTTAAGTAAATAGGCAAGGAGTTGCGTTAACAAAAAACGGCTTCACGTATTATATATATAGATGTTTTAAGTAAATATGCGAACAAGTGATTTTGCGGCCCTAGGGATGTAAACCCCTGCTCGGTCCCCATATGACGATGACAGCTGGCATGGCCAGCAAAACGTAACTTTCAGCCACCAATAAAAAACCAGCTAAATGTATGTAAAACAGCTAAAAACATCATTGTGAGGTGAAAAATTCGTTACGCATACTTTTACATTACCATAAATTAATTATATGCATACAGAAAAAACGGAGTCATACTTATTGCGTATTTTAATGTAAACTAGTGGCTTGTAGGGACATAGTCCCTAAAAAGCTTAAACGGAAAAGGAATTATTGTTGGAATATTTAAACAAACTCAGAATCAAATGATCTATATGTCAGGATAGGCCTAGATATCCCACTGCAACATATCTTTTGTGCAAAAAAAAACAAAACAGTTTGTTGTTTGTCTTTGTTTGCTTTTGTTGATAACGTTATGTTCAATAAAGAATTTGAATGATTCCAGAGGTTTAACTGCTAAAGGCAGCAAACATGTTTATGAATAAATAT